TTATTATATATTTATTATTTATTTATTATATATATATATATATATATATATGGCCAGCTATCGCCTATGAAACAGGCAGGTGGAAATATCAATAATAAGATATTGTTGCTCTTACACAAAGGCCCAACTCTGATTTCATCACGAGGCACAAATCAAGAGAATTTAGTTTCAGTTGTGCAGCCTTGCGAGTCTTGATTCCTTTGTCTTCCTTTTAACATACCCCGCCCCGGTTCTAATGCACACACATACGCTCTGATATACTGCACAGGTGTTCTCAGACAAGCTCTTTGGCAACTCGTTTGGGCTGAGCAATGGCGTGTATCTAGGCTGTGATGCGTCTGGTGCCTACACCTCATCGCCCCCATTGTCGGCTGAGAAGGTATTGTGTTATTTGCTTAGGGCTGAGAAGGTATTGCTTTATTTGCGTAGGGGTGGTATTAATTTGCTATCTGCTCAGTCAGGTTTCGGGATACCGTCGCATGTGTTTACGTCCAATCGCATGGCATTTTGTTCTGAGTGGGGTGTTCTATTTCGTCGTTAAGACTTACGATGGAGCAGGCACATGGCAACGGCATGCAGCTACTGGTCAGTTATAGCTTTGTGCAGAGGCTACTAGATCAACCTGTCCACATGCCGTTGTGTAGAATACATTAATTCGCATTCACTACTACCACCTGAGCTGATTCAGCCACTCTTCACGCTTTTGTAGTCACAATGTTCGATTGCCAATGCCTCGATGGGCCACCCACAGCACCTCCATACTCACCCCAGTGCTCTGATACGCTCACTCACTCACAGCACTATGAGAACGTCAGCAGCGAACCCATGGCCACCATCGGACAGCACCTGCAAGAACTCAACCGCAAAATGGCTGAAGCCCCCTGCGCATACGACCCACCCGCCACAGCCGACATGCACAACACACGCTCAACGGATGACTACGACACGCACATGCACACGCACACAGCCGAGGACTATGACTCACACATGCACACGCTCCCCCATGCGCACGACCCTGATGCGGCCCACGACTATGGATGCTTCGACCGCTCATCGGATGTAGATGTGTTCGAAGAGTACATTGACGAGTAAGTGGCAGCATTCAGTTGTGAAGGGTATCGCGCAGTGTGCCATGCAAATGCTATCACGCGAACTCGCAAAACTCTTTAGTTAGAACAGCTCGCACACTCTTTAGTTAGACCCCATTGGACACTTCCCTTGCCCCAATAGACACTTCTCTTGCCCCAATAGACACTTCTCTTGCCCCAATAGACACTTCTCTTGCCCCAGTAGACACTTCCCTTGCCCCAGTAGACACTTCCCTTGCCCCAATAGACTCTTTTCTTGCTATGTGCTGTGGACCATATTTGTTTAGACCTGCGTTGCGAGCCATTCGCTTGTGACCTTCTGCTATAGCGCCTGTCCTCTAGACTCAGTTGGTTGTCGCGTGCGCTCATCCCACCCCATCGCCTTGACTGTTCTTGTCTGTCAATAGGTCTAGCTCCAGCATGACGAAGGCTACCTTGGCGTACTATGGACCTATGACATCCAACATAGCCCACTCCACCGCACCCTTAGGCAGCGCAGTACACAAAACGTACACGTCCCCAGGCATCTCCATCTGAGAAGCATGGCTAAATCTCTGGCACCAGCCACTGCCGCTACGACACAACAACCATCTACTGGGCCATGCATGCACACAACAAACCACTATAGCTACACTATGATACACACGTACAGCGCAATCAGTGTTCACGAGAAGAAATCTTCTATATATATATATATATATATATATATATATATATATATATATATATATATATATATATATATATATATATATATATATATATATATATATATATATATATATATATA